AATGGTTGACTTCCGCCAGCTAGCCTGTACTTTGACTCTTTTCTCGTTAATTGTACAATGACGCACGCATATTTGTCTCCTGGGGTTCGTCAAGTACAACGCGTTCCCTTCTTAGCCACTGTGAACTGTTCGGTCGTGCACGAAGGTCACGGGGAAGCCTGGGAAGTCACCTGCGGCGCCACGGGTCATAAAAGATGTAGATGAGTCTAGCCGAGTCGAAGCTTTTATCTGTGTCCTCTGCGAGTGGAGGACCCTAACATCGTCTCGGTGACCTCGGTGCAGTGAGGCTGCGTTTCTTGAGGCGACCACGTAACAGTGACGACGATCGAGTGAGTGAGGGCTTTCTCCTACTTTGTATACCCATAAAGCGTGGCAGCTCGACGACGGAGCCATAGAGTGTCCGTTCACAGATTTGGAGCGCGAGGATCTGGTAGCGTACAGAGCATCAAAGAACCATTTCTCGGGGAACCTGGATGTGAGCGCGCAGCTTTTGCAGCGGCGAGGATCCGAAACACACTTGTTCGCTCGGGGGAAGTGTGTTTCGGCGTCTTGCCGCAGCAAGGCGCCAGTCACGTGGCTCTCCTCTTACCCGTTGTCTGCCACTACACCTTTTCCATTTTGGCGGCCGCTTCTCGTGGCCATCTTCCAGGCTTTGTCAGTATATAGGAGGCTATGGTATACCTTTTCTTTTTTTATTATTAAAGCTTTCACAGGGGTCTCTATACTCAATCTATCATAACTTAAACTTACCGTCATTAAAAAAAAACACAAAAAAATGTGCGAGTTTTTTTTTTTTTTTTTTTTTTGATGAATTTTTATGCGTATTATACGAAATCCCTAATCTAGTAAAGAATATAAAAGGGGCACGTAAGGTGAATCTCTCGGGCGTTAATTTGTAACTTTTAGAAACTTAAAGGGATACTTCAGAGAAATTTGAAATACACCCGTCGTGTTCATAGATAGGCTGAATATGATCCACGATATTCGTAAATGACAATCGCACGTTTGTATTTTTAGCCTGATGGCTGTATTTTTCGTCATAAACAGCCCTCTCTGGCAAGCGCTCAGAGAGGAGCCAAAGGAGAGCACGTCACATCCGGCTTCATCCGGCAAGAATCACGGGAGATTGTTCTTCACGTCGCCTTAAATAAAAAAAAAAAAAAAATATGTACTTTGTTTTGACATGATTTTTTAGGTAGCTCAACAATGCCCAGTAAATACACGAAGGCAAAGCAAAAGCTGGATTCTAAGGACCCTTTTTCCGAGCGCCATATTTGAGTCGCCATAGCTGACGTTATGTTGCCTTACAAAGATGCCTAGACACTAAAATGGGCAACGCTAAATTAATGCACACAAAGCCTGCGTTGAGGAAAAGCACACTTTGGTGTCTAAAAGGTAAAGAACCGGTCACGCAACCAAGGTGACAAGATGAAGCGAACAGAATGACAGCAAACAAAAAGCGAGGGTCAGTTATGGCTGCGCCCATGCACAGCTGCGGGAGGGCGCCCACACATAAGAAATAGATTGTCTGGTGCCACAGGAGAATAATACATTTTCAGTTATCGGCAACTCACACGAATAAACGACATTAAAAAAAAAAAAAAAAGGGGCGGGGGGGGGGGGGGGGGGGGGGCTTGGCGCTTCGAGTCAGTTACGGGTTAAAAACGTTTTCGAGGGAAAGGGCGGCTGGGGAGGGGGAGGCAAACGGAATGCTCGAGAGGCGAGGAGGAAACCTCCTGCTCTCTCCAGGGTTCCGTCTGCTTCCTCCTCCCCCATCCTCCCTTTCCCTCGAAATCTTTTCTTAACCTGTAACCAAAGTTTCTGAACTACTCAGTTGAGAAACTGCCATAGATCTTGCTCTGAAAAAGTGGCACCGATCTGTACTCAAGGACCGAGCTAATGGCGATCGCAACGCCGCCATTTTTCCCGCAGCGGCCACTCGAGGAACTGCATAGAGTTCAATAGCGTCCGCTGTGACTTCTATTTTGGCTTTATTCGGCTATTTTGGCACCGAAGCATATACGGTGGAAGGGATTTCAAGAGTGCCACCCCCGTCTCCCAAACGGACGTGCCGCGGATCACTACCGAAGTTAAAATGCGCCCAGGTCGGGACGCGCTACTTGAAATCACCGCTGAGACATACTTGCATAGAACCAATATTAATTGTACCGCAAAACCTTGCACTCTAAATATCTTGTAAAACATCTCGCGCCAGTCATTTTATACTAAACTCCAATAAAAGTTACTACAAAAAAAAAGTATTTTTTTTTTTCGTTTGCTTTTTCGAAAAAACAGGCTTTCTGAAAGCTCAAGGGGACCACAGTAAAGAAAAAAGATTAAGAGTGGCGCTGTTGTCGTATTGAGCTCGGTCTCCGTGGACGCCAGTGGCGCAGGTTTTAAGGGTGAGTTTTCCAACTGAGTGTTCTAGTAACGTTGCCTGTAACATAGCAAACATGCGCTGCATTGAGGCAAACGCCCGGTAGCGGCGCGTGCTTCTCAAACAGAGACGAGAGTAGCAGAGATCATATATGACGACAAGCAGGAACGAATGTTGGAAAGGAAGCAGAAACTTCCCAAGGGAGACAACAGATTTAATAGTGGTCGAGAAATTCAACAAGTGAAGAGACCTTACACGTCAGGAGATTCAACGAGTCAAGGGATCCAACGCGTCAAGAGATCCAGGTACAACTATAGTTAAGTGATCTAATATGGGTCATAAGATCAGCGATTATTCGACTCAGGAGATCCAGCGACTCAAATACTCAAACAAGTCAGGAGATATATGACTGGTTAAAACTGAACTCCACGGCAGTTGCAATTTACCTGAGAAAAGTTGACTATCAGATATGTGGGATGGGTAAGAGATTTATTTCCACTCAAGTTTATTTCACTTAGGATACTGCCTTAACGTTTGCGGTAAGACGTGTTTCAACTTCCCAAAAGGGTGTCGAACCGGAACCGAACCGAACCGAAAACCGGAACCGAACCGGTATTTTTTCCGGAACTGAACCCGAACCGTTATATTGTTATCGCGATGAACCCGAACCGGAACTGAACCAGAAAAAAATAACGGTTACCGGCTCATGTCAAAACGGTTCGGCCACGCGCTGTTGACAATGAATGTGCTATCAATGCCATTTGTCTTTTAAGTGCCGTCAACTGACGCACACCTCGCTTACATATTTTTCTTCTCCACTCAGTCTTAGCAATATAAACGCTGCATCCATGAATCTTGACATAGGAACCAGTATTGCGCTGGTCGCGGCTTGCACGGAAGAAAGAAAATTGAAAGGCTGTGCAAAAAAAAAAAAGTCGCGTCACGGGATTTTTTTTTTCTACAATCTCGTAAATCCTAAATGCTGCTGTGTGCTCATTTCATAACACGTTTCTAGAACGCGCGAGTTCTTGAAGCTTGCTTCCATCGGAATGAGAAAAGAAAAGGCTGTGAAGTTTGATAATAATGCATCCGGTTTCGTATAGGCACTTAGAAGCTAACATATTTGTGAGTCAGCAAACTCTTCTATTTTAATATTTATCCTATTACGTCCTTCTGGCGTTGCGTTCGGTGAAGTGTTTTTCATATTCCGTATCTTGTTTAATGAAAACTTCTTTAAGGGTCTAATTTGAGTTACCGAAGGCTAGTTCAAATAAAGAAAGCTGTATTTTCTCTCCACTGTTCTTTCAATTGCTTACACGCCGAGGTGGCGGGATAGTTAGCGAGTTCTTCTTGTAAGGGGGTTTGTAAGGAGGTCGCGGATTTTACAGCTACTGCGTCGGACCCAATTCGATGAAGTCCGAATGCGTAAACGTCGGTGAGGTAACCTTTGAGTGCACATAAAGAAACCATTCCTGGTAGAAATCCCTGAGCCGTACACTACGATGTATCCCGTTTCGTATGTGCTGATTTCAGATGTTTTATTTGTAATTTATTTTGATGTTGCAATTTGTCATTTATAATTTCCGAACCGGTTCGCGAACCGGTTCGCGGATCGAATTAATCGAACCGGAACTGAACGGGAACAAAATTAATTTACCTGAACCTGAACCGTAACCGAACCCGTATTTTTTTCGGTTCGACACACTGCTTCCCAAACACTTTTTTTTTTACTACAGCTCAGGTAACCGTTTAATCGTTTAAAACATTTTTTTAGGACATTGCAGTTTGTCATATTTTACACGAGGTTTGAGACGTATCGGCATTGAAAGTGTTGCACGCGGTTCGTTGGGTTTCGAGCATTGCGCTGATGGATCCAGGAGCATTTTCGGGAAGTCAATAGAAGCTACTGCTTTGAAAGACGAACAAAAAACTTCAAGCCTTTCCACTCTGTTGAAGAACGAAGAGCAGCGGATCTGTAGTATGTGCCGCCATCTATGAGCGACGCCGGCAACCAGACAATCGGTAGGCCGGTTGTCTGGCTGCAGCCGTTGCTCATAGATGGCGGTAGCTGTCCAGTAGGTTGTGTCAAGATTTATTTGTCCACGGACACAAACTGGGGAAACTATAGCCCTTAACAGCTCCGCTGTAAAAATCTTGACAGGTTTTTTATCAAATTTCCTGACTTGTTGGACCTCTTGACTCGCTGGACATGAATCAAGAGTCACAATGTAGGCAGGGGGCCCAACGTGTCAAGAGATCTGCATCTTATGAATCAGCAGCACTACGGCATTGTTATCAGAAAATATTGCTCCTCCGCGGCGTGGCCGTTTCCAGCTTCCTCCTCACCTGGTGGTGGTGCATGTACTGGTGAGGCACCGGCAGCAGGGGCCTGGACCCGGGCACGTAGACGGGCGGACCCGGGTGCAAGAAGGCCGACGAGCCGGCTCCGGAGCCGTCCTGGTACGAGGGCAGGTGCATCGCCAGGTTCTGGAACATGGCTCCTACGGCTAGCACGGACCGCGCGGGGGCCTCGCGGCTGGGATCATGGCAGCGTCTAGGAGGCCTCAGTTCCTTTCTCTAGCTTGACGTCTGCTTGTCTTGGGGCCTTGCACGTGGCGCCCTCTCAGGCAGTTAGGAGGACATCCTCAGTCGCCGCTTGGTAGACGGCTTCCTCGCTGACGTTAGTGACGGCCTCCGTGTCGCCGTCCGAAAGGACTTCATTCTTTGCGCCAGGGAGGTTGTCAGCTTCGTTTTCCCTGCAAAGAGCAAGGCATCGTTTATTACGAGTTGAAATCGATAACCATTTCATGTACATCGATGCCCGAATGGGCTTGAATTACCATTTGAAGAGAACAGAGACAAGTTTCGTCATTGAGGATAGCGTACCCCTGCTCTGCCCAGGAATAATTATTTTTTTATCATGTCGTTACATGTTTGATACTATATAATTAATTTCTCACTCGCTAGCTAACATTTTCTAAGACATTAGCGGATAGAGGTTTTACCAGAATCTTGGAACTTCAGCAATAGAGGTGTGTTAGGGAAAACAAAAACAAAAACGAGACGACAAAAGATTTTAGTTGTCGCCATGGGAAACCTAAGTTTACTACAAAGTAAAGTTGTCACACCAATCTTTGCCTACAAGATTATGTATTTTTTTAAATACCAGATGCGGGCGCGTGCTCGGATGGAGTGCGTTTTTCGTGCGCGTGCACCTTGCTCAAATGGAGTGCTTTGCCGCAGTGCAGCAGGAGGCTGCGCTGTGGCAAAGTCAGATATGCAATATGGCGCGGTGTTTGCTCCTCGGTGTCCCTTCTCCGTCGTACATTTGTGCCAAGGGAGAAGCGCACTCAACGGAGCTAGCTAACCCGCTTCAACAGACCTCGAACACTGAAGAAAGTTTGTGAAATTTCACAGTACATTCAGTGTTCAAAAGGAAGGCTTAAGGGGGCATGTGGGGCTTTAGAGTGATTTTATTATTTATGAAAGAATACTTATCATATTATACACTGATACACATCTCGCACCTATTCCAAGTATGCAATCAGATATTGAATACCTTTACCGAAACCCGAGTTATGGGAGATCGGTCTAATATGATTAGGTCATTTGTTTCAGGTCGTTAAAAAATATTCGTAAATTATCAAAACATTTAATGCAACTGCATTCACAACGGTTTAATTTGTGCGGTGATGCAGTTTTAGATCTCAACTGGGAGAGTTATGTTACTAAAAAACGACTGTAATTTGAGCGTAAAAGACATGCTTTCTCGTTATTTAAAAAAATAATTAATTGAATAGAATTCAAGTTGGAAGACTATAAAAATAGCATCACCGCACAGCTTCATTCTTCTCAATTAAAATGGCACCAAACGTGTTAATATTGTCCAAGACAAACTTCAGAAAACGCCTGTAAGGCATCCGTACTTGTGAAAGAAGTGTGAAGAGAGAAAAAAAAAAAGAAGCACTTAAAAGTATGTATATTCCCACTGAATGTTTATAAAAAATTAAGACTTATTTTTTTATATTTGCAAATTAAATAAAGAAATATTATTTTGTAGAGAGCTGGGTGAGTACGTCTAAATATCAGAAAATACATTTTCTCAAAAATGACTTTTCCCCAACTTTTTCCCACTTTAAGACCAGCCTCCCCCGTTAAGCGAAGTACAATCAATCATTGAAAATATTTTTTTTAAGTCGCACAGTGTCTGTGTGCCGCGGCCCGTGTAATTAGTATCGATTTTGAGAAAGAGAAGGCACCTTCTTCGCAGCATTGACGCAAAATCATCACATTTTTGCAACAGGATCAGCAACTTGGAGCAATTGTTGACTATATGTTCCCTACTGCTACACCCCCCCCCCCCCCCCCCCCCCCCCCCGCCTTCTCGGTGCGTGCAAAATTTCAACATACTCAAGCCGTGAGATTGGCGAAAGTTTTAGCATATATACCTTTCTCGCGTCTCCCGACTGTTGTGTATGTGCTACAAACAAAATAAAAAAAAAAGTGTGATTTGGTGACGGGAATGGAATGAAGACTGGATATTTGCGACTCCAGCAGCCTATACGGGTCGCCCAATCTCGACAAATATGGCGGCCGAAAACAGGTCGTGCCGCGCCATGTGGCAACTCAACGCACGGCAATATGATTGAAGCGTGGTTAGCATTGGCTTCGACATGGTTTGCCTGAACGTTTATTCACCATGCTCAAAATCTCTGGCGCTCTGTTGACGTAATTGCGCTTTCAGAGGCTTAGCCTTTTTCTGGGAAGCGATTTAAGTAGGCCGTCGATTAAGAATGTTAGCCCGAGTAATCGACACCCTTTAATCGATTCATTAATCAGTCAATCGGACTCGTTCATTTCCACGCATATTATATATATGAAAAAAGTCAAAATTAATTTGAAAAAAATAACAATTTTGCTTTTGTTGAATATATAGTAAAAGGCGCAACATACCTTTTTGATTATGAATCGACCTCGAAGTGTAGTTGAGAACACGTTCAAAGGCATTCACACTCACCGATTATTACTTCAGCTGTCTGGGGAAAAAAAGGTTCGCTGACATTCTTTGGCAAGAACAACCTCCTTGGATTGTAGTTGAAATGGCAGGTCACGTGTAACGTATACCGCACATGCCAGGAGTTACTACTTTAGGCGAAAGTTTGACCGAAATCTTTCTCTTCATACAGGCGTACTCGTTTACATCTACTCGGAGAAAGCGCGTAATTTTCACTTTCTTTTGGTTCGTCAAAAGTTTACCTATTAACCGGTTAAAAAAATTAATCGCGATTAAAGCACTAATCAAATCATCGGCAGGTTAAGCGATCAGTTACCCAGTCATTAAATAAAAGGGGTATAGAGGATATATAAAACGAGAAAAAATTGCATCGAATCATGGTTATCTCGCCATAGTATCATCACCAACATCGCTAGTCGTACTCTCCCGTTTCGCGTCTGTGTGAGTGTCAAAATTCCTTCGCATTCTCTCGCATATTGCGCGTAGACACCCGCGTCATATCCATTCCGTGTCGTCATCATCGGGTTTATACCCAGTCTGACCAGTCTTTTTCCCGGCGTGAATATACAAAAAGTTCCCACGCACCTTCGTTTGTGCCTAATGAGTTTCGTGGGTCACAATTATTTCGTAATAGAAATAATTAGCGACATATCGAATTTAAAATAACATAAAATATGTATTCATCCACCTTACTTTTTTCATGTTTATCAAATTCATTATTAAATGCTTATTTAGGCTTTCCTATTTAGTATTTACTCGTTTTCTCGTTTATTTTACGGTTCTGGAGACTGCGACAGATCCGGCCCCTTAGCCGACGAAACATTCGGAGACACTAGTGGCTTGGTCGTCGGTATTATAGCAAACACACAAAGCCGATGAGCGCCATCGCATCGATGGTGTTTCAATTGGGGCCGCTCATTCGGCACCATCAGGTTGCCGAGTCGGCCATGTATGCAGCATAAAAGGGCCGTGGACGCAGAATGTTCCTCAGCTGCCACTGACGGGTTTTATTGCCACGCGAAGCGACGTCTCAAGTGAGAATAGCAAGCAGAAACACAACATGCACGAGGAGTTTAAAGAACGCTCCCACGAAGCGTTCGTTCCTACATGAGCATGTCTGCGGGAGGCGCGACCACGTAATGCGGGTTTAAAACGACGCTGTAGCGTTCGCTAGCGTCCGCAAGACGCGACCACCTCGTTCGAGTCACGCTTCTGTCAGCGCCTCATAACGCGTGCTAAGAGAGAACGCTAAAAATGAAGAAAATCAATTAAACCCGGGAGAATTTTTTTTTTTTTTTAACATTTCGTTTAAGTCTCGTTTTGTCGTAAGTTTGTATCGACCAGTGAGATTGTGCCAGCTCTTAGCATGCGTAAGTAACATGACCGAGAGAGCGATGACGCACGACGGGGGCGTCAACTATAAAAAAGCTACAATTTCATCGCCAGGTTTGCCCTCAAAAACGTGAAAGCTACGGGCATATAATTGAACTTTCGAGAGACACGGTCGACAGGAGACCGCTTCACATGGGACGATTTTGCTTGCAAGTTTCATATGCTTTAAACAAAATGTCGCTCGCGCGACAAAAAAAAAAAAAAAAAAAAATGTGGACTGCAGTTAAACTGTTGCTGTGTCCAAAGATTACTTTTTTTATTTTATTATGGCCGCGCGAGGTTTAAAATTGCGAAGCAAAATCACACCATGTGAAACGAGGTACGGACGTTTTATTGCTACAAAAAATTGCAGTCTGCTTTCTCCTTTAAACCAGCATAAATTCAGTTTTTTTTTTTTTTTTTGTGAGTCTGGAGCTTTGAACAGTGTTGTCAATAACATATTTAAGCTTTTACTGATATCGTGCGGTCAAAAACGTTACGCATCGAAGGGAGATAATTGCTACGAATGCAGAAGGACCTATACCACCCGGTTCAAGAGATGCGAATTTACTGGCAATTTTGCAATTGCGCCGTCGTTCCTGCGAAAGTAAAGCGAGTGGTGGAAACTGGAGGTGCTCGGACGTCGCTGTTCCGAAACGCGAAATCGCGAGCATCTGGATCAGGCTTAAGACGCCGCGTCCTTACGCAGAATATTGTCCGAACCTACGTAAAACCTCTCAACACCATAAAAGCAATACAAAAATTTTTTTCGCACGCGTTATTCTTGATGTGATTACTTTTTTAATCGTGTGACATCCGGTATTTTCGGATGTCAGACCACAAGATAGCTTTGACTGAGCGATAGTGCCCCTATACCTACAGTCACGTTAAAGAAGAAGTAGAAGGCGCTGCGAGGATTTATATCACTGACTTTAAAGAAAGAGATGATTTAGAGCCTGCCATTTGGAAAAACTCAATGTAAAAATTTGCGCCACGCAGGCCTCACCATCCTCGTGAAGGCGCCTTTCCCACAATATTAGTGTGCATGCAGAAAAGCCACCTTCACGGTGCTTGAGGCGTTTTAGGTTGAGATTTGGGCTTTCACTGAATTTGCCTCAAACTTCGAAACCCCCAAAAGAAACAAAACAAAACAAAAACCACACACTTTTTCCTTTTTAGTAGCGCGGAAAACGTTTTTTTTTTTTTTTTTTTTAATTTGCTGACAGCAAACTCACACTTTTTTTGCGCCCCGAAAAATGTTGACAACTCTAAAGCCCAGAGACAAATATAGCTGACGTCTCCGAGAAACGTTGAAAGTTAAAATGAATTGAGATGCTTAAGTTGCAAAAAAAAAAATGCACATAAAATTCGGCGAACCATGCATTTCAATGAAATGAGAGAACAATATACAAAGACTAATCGTTAGGCAAATTACATTTATATAATATATACAAAAAAAATCTTTTCAGTGACGATTTCTAAGGTTGTTTTGAGTGTAAAACAGGTTA